AAAAGTGTAGTGTTAAATGCAGGCTATTAATTTTAATGGGAATGGTATCTCTTTTCGGACTTCCTTGGGTTGATCTTTGAAATCAGATATAAGACAAAACAAAGGAAGTCAATTGGCTGAGCCAGCTTGAGAACGATCGATATAGAAAGCAGTTTTTGAGTTGTTTCTAACACGTCAAGCAATGTAGACGTGTTTCCTTCGTGTCTGGAAGTGGCTCCGAAATGGGGTGAGTGAGCGACCCCACTGGACAGTTAGAGATATATACGTTGGCGTAAATAAAATAGTTAAGATTAAAATTATCTTTGTTGATGTCTTCTATCTCCGAACCAAAACCGACTAGTGATCAGCGGCTATGAAAGAAGAAGGCAACGTTATTATGGAATTGAAGTCGTCCCCCCAAGACCACCCCAGTACGAGGGGGCTATACAACAGCAGCCTGTCTGTTTTGTGCAAAATAAAATTGCAGATTTAAAAAAAAATAATTAAAAAAAAAACCTTATTTACACTAATTGCATTGTTCGGACTGTTGTCCTCATTTTTATTACCATACTCACGACGTTTCAGTCGTTGTACATTCCGGCCTTCTTCAGAAATAGATTGTTCTAATTCCACAAATCTTTGGATATATCATTTTCAGTTAATTCACCTTGATAAGTCTTCAAGCTTTGAACTCATATTGTGAGTTCAATACCTGGCAACGGCAGAGGTTAAAAAAACTTGGCCAGCTATCAGGGGAGTTAACTAGAACTGAGATATCCAAAAAGGGCATGGCACGTGGAATTGGAACATTATACCGCCGTGGACTAAATAAAGGGTTCGGTTCGAAATTACAACAAATATCACCTGATGAAAGACGGGTCGTACAACGGTCGAAACGTCGTGAATATAACAATAAAGATGAGGACAACAGTCCGAATAATGGAAATAGTGTAAATAGTTGCAATAACTAATATCAGAAATATAGAGAGATGCTGATGAGAGACGGATCGTACAACGGCCGAAACGTTTTGAATATGGCAGTAAAGAGGGGGACAACAGCCTGAACAATGGAAATAGTTAAAATATCTCATATCAGAAATATAGACAGAAATAACTAAATTTAATAAAATTTAACATTTTAAATTTGTTTTCGGCTTGTACTTTCGAATAAATTTTCTGTTAATTTCCTTTTTAAATTATTTCATCGCAAGAAAGGTTCATAAAGCCACTAAGATACAACTGAGAATAAAAGAAAGTAAGAAAATCTTACCGACGAGAAAGGACAATAAAAGAACAGTATTTAAAAAAATATACAAATGGTGACGATTGACGTTGCATTTTAATTTTTGAAGATCATAGTTGACAGAAAAGCAAAAAGCTGGGGGAATGTTTCACAAGCGAGAAGTGCTAGAGAAGTAACAGTTGACATAGAAGTTATTGTTACATCTATCGAATTCAACCGTATAATGATGTGACCTAACAGCCAACTTAGTACTGCGCTTAAATTCATTAAGTCAAGATACCAAAGAGGAAAGCCTGTTGTTGAATAAATTTCAATTTAGAATATTAACGGTGCTTTAATTTGACTTATTAAACGAAACTTTCAACATCTGTCTATATTTCTGAGATGATCTAATCTAACTATTTACACTATTTACATTGTTCGGACTGTTATCCTCATCTTTATTGTGACATAGAAGACGTTTCGGCCGTTGTACACTCCGACCATCGTCAGGATCTGTCTATATTTCTGAGATGAGGTATTGTAGCTATTTACACAATTTACATTGTTCGGGCTATTGTCTTCATATTTATTGACATATTTACGACGTTTCGGCCATTGCACGCTTTGGCCTTCTTCAGGATCTGTGTATATTTCTAAGATGAGCTATTGTAACTATTTACACTTTTTACATTGTTCGGAGTGTTATCCCCATCTTTATTGTCATATTCACGACGTTTCTGCTGTTGTACGCTCCGGCATTCATCAGGATCTCTGTATTTTTCTGAGATGAGATATTTTAACTATTTGCACTCTTTACACTGTTCGGACAGTTGTCCTCAACACGAAAACTACGACTGTGATATTTTTTATCGCCCCACCTCGAGCCACGGGTTTTTCAACTATGTTGAGAAGAATCAATTGATTATAATTATATTGTTATTGAATGTTTATTGCCATCAAATCGAATCCGTTGAAGTGACTTTACTTTAAAATGAATTTGAATCTATTCAAAATAAACGGTGAATTATTTTCGTTTCTTCTAAGGGAGATAACTTATATCATTTACTTTTGTAAAGCTAATTGCTTCATCGGTCTCTTAGGATATCTCCAGTCTCTTACCTTGAACCAACCTTACTTACCCGGGAAAATAGAGGCGTCGGCGTATTCTCCAGCGGTTCACGGAATGTGATGTCCCTGTAATCAATTTTCCACAACAGGCTGGCCAGGTCTTGTTCGTATTTCCAATTTCTGATAATTGAAGGAAAGAAAAAACCGTGTTTAATTCATTTAAAAAAAACATTACGATTACCGTATTTAATAGAATAAAAATAAACCTCTTGCAAAAGAAAATGGTTAAAAAATCACCGTGCGTTTTTATATGAAGTCCCTTCTTGCCTGATGTTATCATGCAACACTCAATAGCGTAGCCTGTAACCTTACTTCAAACAAGCACTTTTAACCATTCCAATACCCGGATAATAATGCCGGTACCAAACAAGCTAATGTAGATAAACCTCGTACCCATCAGCGGTTACGTAGTGCAGGGATAAAAGATGGCCAGGACTAATTCTTGCTAACTAAAAATTACCAAGCGACACATACAGAAGAATTGTGTTAGCCTAAAATGCAGATTCTGTGATAAATATCCAGAAACAATTGACCATCTTGTATCAAGTTGCACCGTGTTAGCACCAACTGAATATAAACCTCGGCATGATAGAGTCGGTCAATATCTGTCACTGGAAAATCTGCAACTTTTACTGAATGAAAACTGCAAGAAGCTGGTATGAACATCACCCAAACCCGTTTACAGAGATAGGACGTTTAAAAGATTTATGGAACTTTACAATTCACACAAACAGAACAATCAAAACAAATCGCCCAGACATCGGGATCAAAGACCACAAAACCAGAATACGCTTTCTTATTGACATGGCAGTCCTTGTAGATTGTAATTTATCTTTAAAGATCTTCAAAAACTACCAAAATACAAGGATCTTGAAGTGGAAATCCAAAAAATGTGGCACATAAAACCATCCTCGATTTGATTGGAAAAGGTTCCGATAGCCTCATTGAAGGGATTCCTGGCAGCCCATACCTTAAAGAAATATAAAAAAAATTGTACTCACAAGTACAACTCACATATTACGAAGAGAATTATTTATGTAAAATGTAGACAATCTTAGTTCGATTTTTTTTCCTTTTTGTTGTTTTGTTTACAAAAATAATCAGTAGAAAGATTTCATGAAGCTATATCTGACCTTAGGTCCCTGGTTGGGACCCGGAAGGAAATGTGTATGCAACAACAACAATAATAATAATAATAATAATAATAATAATGTATCTTTGAAGATCTTCAAAAAGTTATCAAAATACAAGGACCTTGAAATAGAAATCTCAAAAATGTGACATATGGGAACATCAACAATCCCTGTTGTAGTTGGAGCCCTAGGACTGGTTGGAAAAGACTCCAGTAGACTGATTGAAGGGATTCCTGGAAGCCCATTCGTTAAAGAAATACAAAAAATTGTTCTCACGATTACAGCCCACACTTTACGAAGGGTTTTATCTATGTAAAAAATTTTTCTAGTGGAAAATGTCATGATGCCATTTCTAACCTTAGCTCCCGAGGCAGGACCAGAAAAGAAATATGTACACATCAGAAATCAAAGGAAATAAAATAAAGATAATAATAATAATAATAATATATTATTATTATTATTATTATTATTATTATTATTTCCTTTGATTTCTGTTGTATACTCATTTCTTTCCGGGTCCCAACTAGAGATCTAAGGTCAGTAATGACATCGAGATATTTTCCACTGAGTATTTATTCACCCCAACACCAAAAAAAAACAAAAAAAAAAACTAAGATCACGTAAATTTTACATAGATAAAGCCCTTCCTAATGTATGAGCTGTTCTTTTGAGTACAATTTTGTGTATTTCTTTAAGGAATGGGCTGCCAGGAATCCCTTCAATACATCTATCGAAATCTTTTTCAATAAATCCGAAGGCTCCAACTACAATGGAATTATTGATATCCTCATGTGCCATATTTTTTAAGATTTCCACTTCAAGATCCTTGTATTTTGATAGTTTTTTGAAGATCTTTAAAGATACATTACAATCTACAGAGACTGCCATGTCAATAAGAAAGCACATTCTGGTTTTGTGGTCTTTCATCTTGATGCCTGGGCAATTAGATTTGGATTATTCTGTCTGTGTGTATTGCGAAATCCCATAGAATTGTTACAGGTCCTATCTCCGTAACCGGGTCTGGGTGATGTTCATACCAGTTTCTTGCAGTTTCCTTCCAGTAGAAGTTGAAAATTTTCCAATGCAGATATTGGCCCACTCTATCATGCCGGGTTTTATACTCAGTGGGTGTCAATACCGCGCAAACCTGATACAAGATGATCAATTCTCTCTGCATATTTATCACAGTTTCTGTATTTTGGGCTAACACAATTGTGTGCTTGATAATCTCTAGCTAGTAAGCCTTAATCCTGGGCAGCAAGAATAAAACGTTCGGTTTCAGCTTTTAACCCTGCACTACGTGGCCACTGACGGGTACGGGTTTTGTCTATTATTATTATTATATTTTATTTTATTTCATTTTATTTGGCACGGTATTTGCCAACCAGAGATCTTTCATTATGGGATTTCCTCAGATCATATGACCTCAAGCAGACTTCTGAAGTGATGGAATTAGAGGCTTCCTCTGATCTTCTTAATGTAGAACTTGAAGTTTAGTCCTATATGACCCTCTACGCTACCAATGTTAGTTTGAG